TTTTAATGTAAATTTTTTACATTACTTTGTTAAAGTATGTTGAATTTTGAAATTGAATAGGCACGTGATGTTGATTTTGGACAAACTATTTATTTAATGTTTGTGCAGGTGCACTGCACATGTCTGCTACAATTAATACTTGGTTAATAAGACAATCTGAATGTTTGTTTAATAATATAACTTAATGTCTGTTTTATAATAATGATAATAATAAACTAGACAAAGTTCGTCGAGACAAATTTTAAGTTGGCTTGTGAAAGTTTGGAACAGAAAGTTTTAAGTTAAAGTTAGTTTATAGTTTAAATTAGTTTAAAGTTTAAAGTAGTTTATAGTGTAAATTAGTTTATAGTTTAAAATAGTCTAAATTTTAAATTAGTTTGAATTTTAAAGTAGTTTAAAGTTAAATTAGTTTAAATTAGTCTAAAGTTTAAATTAGTTTGAAATTTAACAGTTTAAAGTGTAAAAGTATAGTTTCAAGTAATTTAAAGTTGCTACAGTGTTTCTAGTGGGTTGCTAAGGTGTTGCTAGGGTGTTGCTAGGGTGTTGCTAGGGTGTTGCTAGGTGGTTGCTAGGAGGTTTTGGGTGGTTTCTAGGGTATTGCTAGGCGGTTGCTAGGGTGTTCTGGGTTGTTGCTATGGTGTTAAGCGGTTGGTAGGGTATTCTGTGTGGTTGCTATGGTGTTGCTAGGGGGTTGATAGGGTGTTCTGGGTGGTTGCTATGGTGTTACTAGGCAGTTGCATGTCATGGGCTGTCCTACACCATAGTAAGTCAACTTTGGGCTGCTCCTGCCCCCCAGGGGTGCAACTTTTACTCCACTGTGAGGTATTTTCTTACAGAGCCTGTCAGCCTTTTCAAATGTGGTATATTACAAGTTTCTGAGAAATCATCGCTATTTAGTACGGCCTACAGTTGCTAGGGTGCTGTAACTGGTTGCTATGGTGTGTGAATTTAGAGTTTATGAGTTTAAATGAGTAAGTGTCCAGAGTTTATTAATTTATGAGTTTAATAGTTTTATGAGAGTTTATAAGAGTATGAGTTTATGAATTTAGAGTTTATGAGCTAGAATTTATAAGTTTAAATGAGTCTAAGAGTTCGGGTTTAGAGTTTATTAATTTATTATGAGTTTAAGAGTTTAAGATTAGATAGATAAGTGTCATATATAGACAGGGGCGTAGAATTTAGTAGGGACGCTAGGGACGTGTCCCTACCAATATCCAGTGACCCTGATATATCCCTAGCAATAATTTCGATCAAAACTTAAAATATATTTATAAATTGATTAGGGCAGGGCAAAAAAAATAGATTTTTCGATTAATCGTTTTTTAAAATGTGGTCGATTCAAAATCGATTCTTTCTATTTTTTTCCATATTAAGGACTCGCGGTGGTGCTGCGTCTTCTCTCTCAGCACTAGGCAAGCGCTGAATATTCACTTGCACAATCGGGCCAGCATTGCACCGTAACTAAAGTTTATCATTGATTTTACCAGTTTAAACATTCAAGCAATGTTAAACCATGCTGTGCTCGCGCACTCTCAGAGATGTCTTTCACTGCGTGCACGTTAATAAAGCCTAAATCCGCCTCACAAACAGCTCGCCAGAAACAAAAGTTTTATCACTGGATTATATCGCTTTACTGTAACAGTTAAAAACACGCAAAATTATGTCAATACTGTCTTGGTTAGTAACCTCGTAAAGACAGTCGGTTATGTCTTAAATTAGCATCAAAATCCTGTCCATTCATTGTATGCATTTAGTGTATAAGCTAGTGTACCTAAAATAAAGAGTTTTACTGTGTATACAGGTTTGTGGCTCTTAATTTATTTGTATTAATTAACCACTAGTAAACTTATGTCCACTGTTCTTTTTTTTTTTTTTTATAAATATAGGATTTGTATTACATCTATATTCATTATAGTCAAAGAATATAATCAAGAATCAAATCAGGAATCAAGAATCGAAATTGAAAATCGAATCGAGAATCAAAATTGAATCAATCTGAGAGCTTTCGAATCGAAATTGAACATGTGAATCGATACCCAGCCCTAAAATTGATGTCCCCGTCCCCACCAATTTCAAAATCAAACCTACGCCTCTGTATATAGATGAGTGTATTAGTTTAAATGAGTCTCAATAGCTCATATAGTGTATAGAATGGCAGTTTGATTGAGTCTAGGGCTTCAAAGTATTTAGATTTGAATTTTTGACAGTTGGGCAGTTTGAAAATGTGAAGATTCCACAATGTTAAGTCAATGGGTTTTAGCAAAACCGTAAGTCCGATCAGTCTGAAAAACTCGAGTCAGAACAGTTTGAGTGTCCGTGCCGAGTTTGGAGTATGTGAAGTTAAAGCTCTAGGAGGAGTAGTAGTAAGAAATTTAAGTCTCAGAAAAAGAATACTAATAATATTAAGTTTAAATAGCATTTCAGTAAGTTGACTTTCACAAGCCAAATTAAATATATATTTATATGTATATTCACATACGTGCATATCAAATATTTTATTTATCTTAATTAAATGCTTATTGATTTCAGAATTATATTTCTATGTGAAAATGGCTAGAAAATCATTATAGTGTAATGCAGTGAAATATTTTTGGGTGTTTTGTAAAACTGGCAACTTGAGTTACGCAAGTATACATAAAAATCTTTTTGTTTATATTTACAGATGCCACGACCTAAGAAAAGGGCCCGCATAGCCAAGAGGCTTGCACAACGGTGTGCAAATACAGAGGTTCCGCCGCTTCCTCTTGAAAAAAAGGCAGAGGCTGCACCGCTTCCTCTTAAAACAAGTGAAGCAGAGGTTCGGCCGCTTCCTCTTAAAAAAATGGCAGAGGCTGCACCACTTCCTCTTAAAAAAGGGCAAACAGAGGCTGAACCGCTTCCTCTTAAAACAAGTCAGGCAGAGGCTGCACAGCTCCCTCTTAAAACAAGTCGAGCCGAGGTTTTGCGGCTTCCTCGTAAAAAAATGGCTGAAAACAAAAATTCTGACAAAAATTCTGACAAAAATTCTGACAAAAATTCTGACAAAAACTCTGCTTCAAGCTCTGCTTCAAACCCAGTCAAAAACCCAGTCAAAAACCCAGTCAAAAACCCAGTCAAAAACCCAGTCAAAAACCCAGTCAAAAACCCAGTCAAAAACCCAGTCAAAAACCCAGTCAAAAACCCAGTCAAAAACCCAGTCAAAAACCCAGTCAAAAACCCAGTCAAAAACCCAGTCAAAAACCCAGTCAAAAACCCAGTCAAAAACCCAGTCAAAAACCCAGTCAAAAACCCAGTCAAAAACCCAGTCAAAAACCCAGTCAAAAACCCAGTCAAAAACCCAGTCAAAAACCCAGTCAAAAACCCAGTCAAAAACCCAGTCAAAAACCCAGTCAAAAACCCAGTCAAAAACCCAGTCAAAAACCCAGTCAAAAACCCAGTCAAAAACCCAGTCAAAAACCCAGTCAAAAACCCAGTCAAAAACCCAGTCAAAAACCCAGTCAAAAACCCAGTCAAAAACCCAGTCAAAAACCCAGTCAAAAACCCAGTCAAAAACCCAGTCAAAAACCCAGTCAAAAACCCAGTCAAAAACCCAGTCAAAAACCCAGTCAAAAACCCAGTCAAAAACCCAGTCAAAAACCCAGTCAAAAACCCAGTCAAAAACCCAGTCAAAAACCCAGTCAAAAACCCAGTCAAAAACCCAGTCAAAAACCCAGTCAAAAACCCAGTCAAAAACCCAGTCAAAAACCCAGTCAAAAACCCAGTCAAAAACCCAGTCAAAAACCCAGTCAAAAACCCAGTCAAAAACCCAGTCAAAAACCCAGTCAAAAACCCAGTCAAAAACCCAGTCAAAAACCCAGTCAAAAACCCAGTCAAAAACCCAGTCAAAAACCCAGTCAAAAACCCAGTCAAAAACCCAGTCAAAAACCCAGTCAAAAACCCAGTCAAAAACCCAGTCAAAAACCCAGTCAAAAACCCAGTCAAAAACCCAGTCAAAAACCCAGTCAAAAACCCAGTCAAAAACCCAGTCAAAAACCCAGTCAAAAACCCAGTCAAAAACCCAGTCAAAAACCCAGTCAAAAACCCAGTCAAAAACCCAGTCAAAAACCCAGTCAAAAACCCAGTCAAAAACCCAGTCAAAAACCCAGTCAAAAACCCAGTCAAAAACCCAGTCAAAAACCCAGTCAAAAACCCAGTCAAAAACCCAGTCAAAAACCCAGTCAAAAACCCAGTCAAAAACCCAGTCAAAAACCCAGTCAAAAACCCAGTCAAAAACCCAGTCAAAAACCCAGTCAAAAACCCAGTCAAAAACCCAGTCAAAAACCCAGTCAAAAACCCAGTCAAAAACCCAGTCAAAAACCCAGTCAAAAACCCAGTCAAAAACCCAGTCAAAAACCCAGTCAAAAACCCAGTCAAAAACCCAGTCAAAAACCCAGTCAAAAACCCAGTCAAAAACCCAGTCAAAAACCCAGTCAAAAACCCAGTCAAAAACCCAGTCAAAAACCCAGTCAAAAACCCAGTCAAAAACCCAGTCAAAAACCCAGTCAAAAACCCAGTCAAAAACCCAGTCAAAAACCCAGTCAAAAACCCAGTCAAAAACCCAGTCAAAAACCCAGTCAAAAACCCAGTCAAAAACCCAGTCAAAAACCCAGTCAAAAACCCAGTCAAAAACCCAGTCAAAAACCCAGTCAAAAACCCAGTCAAAAACCCAGTCAAAAACCCAGTCAAAAACCCAGTCAAAAACCCAGTCAAAAACCCAGTCAAAAACCCAGTCAAAAACCCAGTCAAAAACCCAGTCAAAAACCCAGTCAAAAACCCAGTCAAAAACCCAGTCAAAAACCCAGTCAAAAACCCAGTCAAAAACCCAGTCAAAAACCCAGTCAAAAACCCAGTCAAAAACCCAGTCAAAAACCCAGTCAAAAACCCAGTCACCTCCACAGAACTCTGAACAAAACTTTAAAATGTACAGAACTTTACATGAAAATGCTTTGAATACTTTACCTGCATGTGTTGAATTTCTACAGAAACCATTACTGAAAGGTTCCTTTCATCAAGGTGATGCCCGCTTTGGAAATTCACGTGGCAGACAGTGTGGTGCCATCAGTCTGATAGCAGTGTTGATGAGCAAGATGAAGAACGTGTTGACCTGGACAACACAAGATCTCAATGGTGTATTGGTTGCAGGAACACGCCTTTATGAATCTTTACGAAACCAGGGTAACATAAATGACCGGGAAGTCATGGGTAGGCATTACATTGCTGTCCATGAATTACCAAGGAGACATGTGCTGGGTAATACTGTCTTTTCCATAGAATATGCAGAGTCTCTCACTGGATTTGTTAATGTTGATGACTATGATGAATCCTTAAGGAATGTGGCCATGCCAGTTGATGTAGCTCTTCAGCGAGCTCTATTGAGTGCTGATGCTTTCCTTTTATGTATTTGTGCCAACACATGTGCAGTTATTAAGGAGGGCTCATGGTATGCCTTTGTTGATTCTCATGCTAACATGACAGAGACAAGTTGTGTTGCTTATCACAGCACCATAGAATCTTTGTATAACTACATTAATGAGATGGCACAGTCATTTGGGGTAATTGCGCCACGATTTGAGATAACTGGAGTTTTTGCTCATGCAGATGCTGAAGTTTCTCACTCGCTGGAGGCAGACCGCAGCAGTTTTCCATGCTCTTCTGGTAAAGCACTTTACAGTGAAGTTCTAAAACGCAAACCTAAGGTATGCAAATCTGTGACGACTGAGGTAAGGTCATCTGTCTTTCAATCACCTGAGGCTGAAGTTCAAAATACAAGCACTGATGTTCCCATGCCACAACCAGTGTGTAATGTGTTGCCGAGTAAAGGAAAAAGGGGGAGAAGTAAAAATCAGTATGAACTATCAGAGAAATGGGTTACGAAGTCCCACTCGCTGGAGGCAGACCGCAGCAGTTTTCCATGCTCTTCTGGTAAAGCACTTTACAGTGAAGTCTTAAAACGCAAACCTAAGGTATGCAAATCTGTGACGACTGAGGTAAGGTCACCTGACTTTCAATTACCTGAGGTTGAAGTTCAAAATACAAGCAATAATGTTCCCATGTCACAGCCGGTGTGTAATGTATTGCCGAGTAAAGGAAAAAGGGGGAGAAGAAAAAAGCAGGATGAGCAGGTCTCTGAGAAACGGGTTGAAAAATCTCATGTTGAAAATGTTGTAGATGACATAATTATTACTGATGTTTCAATTCCAGAAATATTTTTTTCTCTCTTGACTGTTAGAGATCAGCAAGCTTTATGTGAACTTTTGCTTTTGACAAATGATAACAGTGACTGTGATGTTGCAACAAACTTTGGTCCCATTGCAGGTCCGTGTCAGACAAAGAGTATCAAACCAGATGGTAACTGCTTTTTCAGATCACTGGCATATGCGATTTGTGGAAGTGAGGACAAACATTTGAAGATTCGCCGTGCAGTTGTCAAACACCTGAAAATGAACGCTTCAATATTTGAGAGGTATGTGAGAAGTGAGTATACTTCAGTAGAGGACTACTTGATACAATCTAGAGTCTATTATTCTGGGTCATGGGTCACTGAAATTGACATCTTTGCTTCTGCTGATCTATTTAAAACAACAATAATGACTTTTAATGATGGCCGGTGGAATGCACACAAACCTACTGGAGAGGTAATTGTAAACAATGCAATATATTTGAAAAACTGTAATGGTAATCATTATGAAGTTGTGACATGTGTCAAGCACAGAGATCAAGACATTTGCGCAGCAAAGTGTGGGAATGCTACTTCAAATGAGGTGAGAATGCTATGTCTGCGTAAAAGGAAGGTAAGTGACGCTGCAGAATGTGACCAAGAGACCAAGAGACAGAAACAATGGAAGTATGAGAAGTCCAAGTATGATAGTGACATTGATTTCAGACAGAATAAAATTGCCCATGCCAAAACAAAATACCGTGATGTTCAGTTTCAGAAACATGTTTGCCAGTATTCTCAGATGAAATATAAAAATAATGTCTCATTTCAGGCAACTGTACGTGAGTATTCCAAGAAGAAATATCTTCAAAACCTGGCCTTTAACACAAGAGTGCGTGAGTATTCCAAGAAGAAATATCTTCAAAACCTGGCCTTTAACACAAGAGTGCGTGAGTATTCCAAGAAGAAATATCTTCAAAACCTGGCCTTTAACACAAGAGTACGTGAGTATTCCAAGAAGAAATATCTTCAAAACCTGGACTTTAAAGTAAGAGTGCGTGAGTATTCTAAGACAAAATATCACAAAGATGTAAACTTTCATTTCAGTAAAATACAAAAAGGCTGTGAGGTATATGCAAAAAAAAGGGAAAAACAGAAAGACATTGGTGTTGCCATTGCTGGTTTTCGTCAAGAAGTGAGTAGAGGTCCAGAGTTTGTGTGCTGTGTTTGTCACCGTTTACTTTTCAGAAAGCAGGTTACTGAATGCAAACCAGAATGCTATGAAGACAAAGGAGACAAAATTGCTGCTTTGGCAAGAAGATGCATCACCCTGAGGTATGTGCATGTTTGTGATGAAAAATGTCATAATACTTCTGGTTTTTCTCCAAGGTGCAAATTGTGGATTTGTCCAACCTGTCATCGAAAAATTATCAGTGGAAAACTGCCTGAAGAGAGTGTTGCTAACAATATGCATTTGGTGGACATTCCAAATCAACTAAAGTGTCTTAACTCTTTGGAACAACATCTTGTGGCACGTAATATTCCTTTTTTGAAGTTACTCTGTCTTCCCCGTGGAAAACAAAATGGCTGCCATGGACCGGTGGTGTGTGTTCCTGTAAATACTGCAGATGTGTCAAATATTCTTCCACGAAATGAATGTGATGACAAGATGATAAGGATAAAACTGAAGCGCAAGTTAACCTACAAAGGGCATTATGAGTACAAGCATGTTCACACTGATCGTGTTAGAAATGCTCTGCGACGTTTGATCAGGTGCAATAAATGGTACAAGGATGTGGAGATTAATGAACAATGGATCAACTCTTTGAATGAACCAGAAGAGAATGTTGCTGAAGAAATGGAGGAACAAGCTGACGTTGAAAAGAGTGAAGAGGAAAATGATACTGAAGAACAGCCAGAGGAAGACTTGACTTACATCAAAGAGCAGAGTGGTCTTTTGTCAGACACATGTTTACAACCTGTCGATCTTGGTTCAGAAGTAATTGATCAGCACTTTCAAGATGTATTAAATGTGGCACCAGCTGAAGGTAACAGTCCTGTTAAATTACTGTCTGATAAAAGCAATGAAGCAAAATGTTTTCCTGTTCTCTTTCCAACTGGTGGTCCAACATTCCATGATGAGAGAGAAAGAAAGATCACACTGTCACGATACTTGAATGCAAGAATCCTCAACGCAGATGGACGTTTTGCACGGAGTACAGACTTTATTTTCTATGCACAATACATGTCGGAGTTGGATCAAATTGTATCTAATGTTTCTATTGCTTTGCGAAAAGGGTCGGACAAGAGGTTGTTGCAAGGAGTAACCTCGGATATGCTGACAAACCCAGAGTCGTTAGCTAAAATATTGAATTATGATGAAGGATACAAATTTTTGAGACCAGTCCGTGGAACGCCACCCTATTGGCAATCGACTCAAAAAGACCTTTTTGCTCTCATAAGACAACTAGGTATTCCAACTTTCTTTGCATCCTTTAGCTCTGCTGATCTCAGATGGCCTGAAATGATCAACACCATCCTGGAGCAAGAACAGAAAAATGTCAGTGTTGATGAGCTTGACTGGTCTGAGAAATGTGGACTAATTCGACGAAACCCAGTCACTGCTGCAAGGATGTTTGATTATAGATGGCATTGTTTTTTGAAGGATGTCATTATGTCACCTGCTCAACCTATTGGAAAGATCAAAGACTACTTCTATCGTGTAGAGTTTCAACAGCGTGGATCTCCTCATGTTCATTGTCTGTTTTGGGTTGAAAATGCTCCAAAGTTAAATGAAGACAACGAAGACAGTGATGCTTTGGTTGCTGCTTTCATAGATCATTATATCACTTGTGAGACACCAGGAGATGATGACGCAGAACTTTATGAGACTGTGAACAGTGTTCAAAAGCACAGCAGAAGACATTCCAAGACATGCCGGAAGAAAAACACAGTGTGTAGATTTAATTTTCCACGGCCTCCATCTAGCCGCACCTTTATAACAAGAGCTATACGAGATGACTTGAAAGGCAATGATGGAAATGAGACTGCAAGTGCAATTCTGAAGAAAATCAAAACTGCGTTAACAGAATCTGAAGTCAATTTTGATTCAACAGATGCCTTTTTCCAATCCATTGGAATTAATCAAGCTGTGTTTGAGAAGGCGTACAAGAAATGTTCTAAAAAGAAAAGTGTCGTCTTGAAACGAAGTCCAAAAGATGTTTGGGTAAATCAATATAACCCTCATTTATTGCGTGCATGGCAAGGCAACATGGATATCCAGTATGTCACAGATGCTTACTCTGTAGTGGTTTATATTATTAGTTACATCACAAAAGCAGAACAAGAAATGGGACTGTTGTTGCAACGTGCACAAAATGAAGCTATGAATGGAAATCTTGAAGCAAGATCATCATTAAAAATGTTGGGAAGTGTATATCTACACAACAGAGAAGTTTCAGCACAAGAGGCAGTGTATCGCCTAACAGGTATGCACTTGAAAGAATGCTCTCGCAAAGTCCAGTTTATTCCAATTGGAACTGATCCTGTGAAGATGAGTTTGCCTTTGCGTGTTCTCCAAAACAAAGATGACCATTGTGGTGAAGAGAATTTTTGGATGAATAGTTTGGTTGACCGATACAAGAGTAGACCAAAAACAGAACATTTTGAGATTCTGTGTCTGGGCAGTTTTTGTTCAGAATACAGGATATTGTCAACATCTGAGCTATCTTCACAAAACAAAGAAAATGTGATCAAGCTTGACAACAATTGTGGTTATATGATAAGAAGAACTCGAACTGAACCTGCAGTAATAAGGTATCCAAGATTTTCACCAACAAAAGATCCTGAGAAGTACTATCATTCACTGCTACAACTTTTTTTACCACATTATGAAGATTACCAGCTGAAGCCTGAGAAGTTCCACACTTATGAGGATTTCTACAACAATGGTGCTGTGAAATGCGGAAGTAATGTGACTGAAGTAAAATCTATTGTTGATTCTAATCGAGCACTGTTTGAAAAGGACAGCGATGAAATGGACCGAGCTCAACAGGTTTTGGAGCTGGGTGTTGATTTGGAAGATGCTTGGGCTGCATTGTGTCCTGAAACAGAGAAGGAGCGCCATGAATGTATCGAGCTAAAGAAGAATAACGTACTTCCTGAAGAAGATGATTCTGACACACTTATTCCAGATCTTGTAGCGAACCCTCGAACTGCATTCACAATTGAGAACAGTAATGCTGCAATGTCTCGAGATGAAGCATTGGGTTTACTAAGATCATTAAATGCTAAACAGTCTGCAATATTTTACAAAGTTCGCGACTGGTGTTTACAAAAACTGCATGGAGAAAATCCTGAACCGTTTCGCTTGTTTGTTACTGGTGGAGCAGGCACAGGAAAAAGCCATTTAATCAAAGCAATATGCTATGAATCTTCTAGACTCTTGTCTCAGCTGTCTGACAACCCTGATGAGCGGAGTGTGATTTTATGTGCATCAACTGGAGTAGCTGCATACAACATTGGCGCTGCTACCATACACCACACTTTTTCAATTGGTGCTAATGTCAAACTGCCATATCAACCACTAAGTGATGACAAAATCAATTCTCTGCGTTCCAAACTTGGATGTTTGCAGATTTTGATTATTGATGAAGTATCCATGGTTGACCATCACCTTTTGTCATATGTTCATGGGAGATTGAGACAAATCAAACAAACTGGTGATTACTCCCTCTTTGGAAAAGTAAGTCTTGTAGCTGTAGGAGATTTTTATCAGCTGCCGCCTGTCAAAGGAACTCCACTCTATGCTGATACAAAAGGAGTGAACCTTTGGGAAAACCACTTTGAAATTGCTGAATTAACTGAAGTTGTTCGGCAACAAGATGTAACTTTTGCTGAAACCTTAAATCGTCTGAGAGTTCGTAAAAAGAATGAACCTCTAAGCTCAGGTGACATCAACATGTTGAAGCAACGTGAAACAGGAGAAGAATGCGGTGATGTTCATATATTTCCTACAAATAAAGAGGTTGATGAATACAATATTCAGAGACTAAATGAGGTTTGTCCTGAGGCAATCAGTATTCGAGCTCAAGACTTTGAGAGAAATCCAAAAACTGGAAGGATTGAAAAAAAAGTTGGATTTCATTTAACCGTTTTCAACTCCTGTTTGGCTAAATGTGTTTCCTTGGGTGTTGGAGCAAGAGTTATGTTAAAGAAAAATATTAATGTTTCGGATGGACTTGTGAATGGAGCATTTGGTACAGTTGTCCATATTAGCAGAAGTCAAAATCAGGACGACGATGATTATGATGATGACTTTCCATCAGCCATTCATGTGGAATTTGATGATCCAAATGTGGGAAAAATTCAGAGATCAAACCAACGACATAGATTTTCCCAAAATTCTACAGTAATTGAAGTTCAAGAAGATCAAGTCACAACCAACGGTGGATTAAGGCGCCAATTTCCACTTAGACTGGCATGGGCATGCACTGTTCACAAAGTCCAAGGGCTCACAGTAGATAAAGCTGTCGTATCCCTTGACAAGATCTTTACTTCAGGACAAGCATATGTTGCATTGAGTCGTGTGAGAACTCTCAATGGACTAATTATTCAAAACTTCAAGGAGTCTGTAATATACTGTAATGATCAAATTGACTTGGCAATGAAAAATATACCAAAATTTCCATTAGAAAGTCACACTTTCTCAAAGACACCTGGTATATTTACAATTGCTCTTCAGAATGTGCAAAGTCTTCAAGCTCATGTTCAAGATATTCAAGCTCACAGACAACTTATGAATGCAGATTGTATTTGTTTAACTGAAACATGGCTAAAAGTTGAAGACCAAGTACAAATACCAGGATTTATTTTCAAGCATAATCCAAGAGCTAAGTGCTATGACAACAGCACTCCCCTTTTCAGTAATTTAAAACAACAGCGAGGAGGTGGGGTTGCTATTTACTGTTGTGAAAACATGTTTTTTAAAGTCATCATTCCAGAACCTTGCAATTTGGAATGTTTGTACTTCTCAGTTCCACATATCAGTTTGAATGCTGCTCTGCTGTACAGGCCTAATTCATATCAAATTGATGTGTTTCGACAAAATCTGTTACATGTCATTACTGAGCTGGAAAAACATCCAGGAAAAAAAGTAATTATGGGAGACTTCAATGAGGACATCTTAACATCATCTTCAATTGGGACACTAATGGAAGTCCATGGATACAGTCAACATGTGCAATGTCCTACAACTGAAAAGGGTACGTTAATAGACCATGTCTATATTAAAGATGCAGAAAATGTTACAATTGAAATTGTTTCAACTTACTATAGTTACCATGAAGCAATACTAGTTTCAGTAAGGTAATTGACATTTCTGACACATAATGAAGACTGTATAACTGCATTTTTCTTTTCTGTGCCCCTGCCCTGCTACAATTAATCTGAGATTGAGGTCCATGAAGGTCTGTTCAAGTTCACAAGTGAAAACGGTATGTTATTAGACCATTTATTTCAAATCATTTCAATAAGAAAATGATTCATTTGTTGTAATTTCTGCAAGTCCACTAGTATGCTATCAAGAAAGGTTTACTCATGTAAGGTAATATGTCTGATTTATGCAGCACGCTGAACTAAGAAATGTATATAATTACACTGTCTATTCTGTTTTTGTTCGTACAATGTGACGCACATCTTGAGATTCCAAGGTCTATACAGTCCTGACCATTCCATACCAAGTTCTATCCATTGTTCATCGGGCACAAACCAGCACCTCCCATAATTGCTCTTCTTTCTGGAGCTCCAAAGCTACATCCAGTCAAGGTTTTTGTAGTTTTTATGCATTAAATTTGTGTTTGATTTTTCTTCATTTTAGACAATGGTTTTGTTTTTTAGCTGAATTTGTTTTTGATCTAATTTCTGCCAGTCTAAGCCATCCAAACAACACTGGATGCTTCCAATCAGCATAGGAAGCATCCACAAAGACTGCCTGCATTCCTACAGTTGTCTTATAAAATGCAATTAAGTTAATAGGATTACAAGAAAACATCTAAAAATGATCTAGAAAACTTCACATAGAAAGGTAAGTTGACATGATTGTGTACATTTTAATAGTTTAAAAAGAAAATATTTAAGGCACTATCAACTAACAATATAATTTCAGATTTATAAACTGTATGTTATCTTACCTTTTTGTCAGTAATTTTTTTTTTTTTGATTTCTGAAACACTGAAGTCATAATTCCTCCATATACCCATCACAAGATTTTCTGCTCCATGAACTCCTCTATAGAAGCACACAAAATAAAAATAATATCTTTTTTGATCAGCTATGTCTGCAAAGCTTGAATGAAAGCATGTCAATTTCAGTTAACAGATTATCTACATTAATGGCAATATGTTTTTGTGTAAACTGCTTCACTTTCATCAAGCAGTTTGTTATATGTATGTAATCTCTGCAGATTTCTGAATGAACTGAAGTTATAATTTCCTCCATATGTCATCACAAGATTATCTGCACCATGAACTTTTATAAAGAATCGCACAACTATTAAGATGGTAAGTTTTATTGAAGTAAATTTAAGTTGTGGACATTTATACAAGCACTGATAATCTACTAATGGTACACTTTCAGATTTGTGCAGCAACTCTAACTACTGTTGATATTTTGAAGTCCACATATCCCTATACAAATGTCCACAAAAGGTAAGCTATCAGACCATGTCTATATTAGTTGTGAAATGTTTAATGTGAAGACTTCACTTATAGCACTTGTTGAATGAATGTAATATTTTCAGATTTCTGAAATTCACCAAAGTCCTAACTTCCTCCATACATCCATCACAAGATTATCTGCACCATGAACTTTTATAAAGAATCACACAACTATTAAGACCGTAAGTTTTATTGAAGTAAATTAAGTTGTAGACATTTATACAAGCACTGATTAATCTACTAATGGTACACTTTCAGATTTGTGCAGCAACGCTAACTACTGTTGATATTTTGAAGTCCACATATCCCTATACAAATGCCCATAAAAGGTAAGCTAACAGGCCATGTCCATGTTAGTTATGAAATGTTTAATGTTAAGATTTCACTTATAGCACTTTGTTGAATGGATGTAATATTTTCAGATTTCTGAAATTCACAGAAGTCATAATTTCCTCCATATACCCATCACAAGATTCTCTGCTCCATGAACTTTTATAAAGAAGCGCACAACTGATAAAACAGTAAGTTTTATTGAAGTAAATTTAAGTTGTGGACATTTATACAAACACTGATTAATCTAATGGTACATTTTCAGATTTGTGCAGCAACTCTAACTACTGTTGATATTTTGAAGTCCACATATCCCTATACAAATGTCCACAAAAGGTAAGCTAACAGACCATGTCTGTGTTAGTTGTGAAATGTTTAATATGAAAACTTCACTTATAGCACTTTGTTGAATGAATGTAATATTTTTTAGATTTCTGAAATTCACCAAAGTCCTAACTTCCTCCATATATCCATCACAAGATTATCTACACCATGAACTTTTATAAAGAATCGCACAACTATTAAGACAGTAAGTTGTATTGAAGTAAATTTAAGTTGTGGACATTTATCCAATCACTGATTAATCTACTAATGGTACACTTTCAGATTTGTGCAGAAACTCTAACTACTGTTGATATTTTGAAGTCCACATATCCCTATACAAATGTCCACAAAAAGTAAGCTAACAGACCATGTCCATGTTCGTTATGAAATGTTTAATGTTAAGATTTCACTTATAGCACTTTGTTGAATGAATGTAATATTTTCAGATTACTAAAATTCACCCAAGTCATAATTTCCTCCATATACCCATCACAAGATCCTCTGCTCCATGAACTTTTATAAAGAAGCGCACAACTGATAAAACGGTAAGTTTTATTATTAAAGTAAATTTAAGTTGTGGACATTTATACAAGCACTGATTAATCTAATGGTACACTTTCAGATTTGTGCAGAAACTCGTACTATTGATATTTTGAAGTCCACATATCCCTAAACAAATGTCCACAAACAGAAAGGTAACAGACCATGGCTATGTTAGTTGTGAAATGTTTAATGTGAAGACTTTACTTATAGCACTTTGTTCAATGAATGTAATATTTTCAGATATCTGAAATGCACTGAAGTCAAAACTTCCTCACATATACCAATGAAAAGATTGTATGCGGCATTAACTTCTCTAAAGTGTACAACTGATTAAAAAAGGTAATGTATAATGCATATATTCAAACTAGTTACTGAAAACATATCATTTTTGTGATTTGGTTTATTTCTTTTCCCCTTCTAGAAATAGTGACAACAACATTCTTCTGAACTATCAATTCAAAAATTGTTCTGAAAAAACTTTAAACCTATGCAGGCAGTCAATAGTCAATTGTTATTTTACAAATGAATACATAATCTCCACAGTAACAATGTTGAATGGATGGCTTGTATTACATTTGGCCTATGTATAGTTACTTTAATATGTGCCAGCCAAAAGAGGATGGCCTGCCCCTGCTGAGTCTGGTTCCTCTCAAGGTTTCTTCCTTTGCCACTACGCTGATTATGCTCCAGCCCTTGGTCCATGATGTTCCACACTGCTATCTATGGGAGTTTTTCCTTGCCACTGTCGCCTTTTTGGCTTGCTCACTGGGGTATTAAGGCACAACATGTTAAATAAAGTAATAAAGATTTTTTTTTAAATAAATTGAGTGAAATATACTTTGTCTCTGTAGCCATATACTTCATTTTAATGTCTTTGATTTTCTACTTGTATTAAATGGATGTAGACACTATATTTAGTATATGAATTGATTCTACAAACTTGGTGTCTTTTACAAAAAGTGCATCATAAAACAGCTTAGTGGATCGAGCATTTACATAATTTTCATTTAATTTGTAGTAAGCTATAATTTTTTAACAGTTGTTTTTATTTTGAAATATTAAAATTAGTAAGTGACTGTCTTCAGGACAACAGTTAAAATGTTGTCAAACTTGAATGTTTTAACTTTAAGTATTGTCAGTGGGCAAAGTTAAACTATTATATATGCATTTGTTTGGTTTAAAGCTTTATGTAGTTAACTTGAAATTTATAAAAGCCAGCCTAATTAAAAAAAATTAAGTTTACTTAGACCATGACAAACATCCAATCACACCCTTCTACTCTCTAGCTCACTACACACAATACACAAAAGGAAATTGACATGACCATGAACACACAAAGGCAAAAAGTATTAATATGAAGAAAACCGCTTACATTGCAAGAATAGTAGATTGTCAAGGACCGCTATAGCAATCCTTTTTTCACAAAACTTTCTGGATACTCGAGAATGAAAGAATGAACAATGTTTCTAAAACCAAAAGAAAGATTAAAACAATGCTTACCTGGATAATAAAGGAACAATTTTATAAAGTTGGACAGGACTCTAACTCACAATCTCTGGGTGATGTGACTGTTACTCATCTAGTAGGACCATTGGGGAAAATTGTTTTTTTTTATATATGTTTTTTACCAAGATGCCAAAGTTCCATTAATCAAGTCAAGCATGAATCTTTATATGAATGTGCCACATCATATTCTAATGATTACTTTTCAGAAAGACACTATGTCTGTAACACAATGGTTTTGGCTCATGGCACATGGTTAAGCTTACGCTTAAGCTGCAGAGGATATGCTTCAGTGTAAGAATGAGCACACAATAATCACACAAAAGAATTACTTGGCATCTCAACCAGTTAACCATGCTAAGATCTCTTAATGCTAATGTAACTTATGGTTAGCTAATGTGGAGCCAGAAGAGAAAAAAGAGCAGAAATAGAATGTACATGAAGAAGAGATAGGTTCAGAAGTACTTATGGATGAAATGAAAACAAGCTGCTGCAGCGCAATAGATTAGAACAATGCAGGAATCAACACAATTTTTATACTCATCCAACACGGGGTTCAAACCCACAATCGGAACGGCTCGGGATTTGTAACACATGGTTTAGCCGATTGCGCCACTCAGAGGACGTGAATTTCAATGCAGCAGAGGAGAGGGTTCAGTGTGAGAATGAGTTCACAAAAAAGTTCCATAAGCATGCTAAGCTATCTTAATGCTAATTTAGCTTATTACGTGGTACATCCAATCCTGGCAAAATAGACATCCTCGGATTCGACATGATGCAAGGAATCGATAGACACCAATTTTATGATTTTGTGACAAACTGTTCACAAGTTACAGCCTCTGAACCAATGTTGGGTCGAACTTGTTAAATTTGCGACATCATAACTTTTTTTTTCCAGTATAGCAAAAAAATCGGGAACAGTACTTCTGTGCGGCTCGGTCCGAAGATCATTTGAGCAAATTTTGGACAAATTTGGACAAATTTTGAAGGAGGAGTAGCGAAAAAACGGTTTTACATTCGCTCCAATATGGCGGCCAGTCACATTGTTGGAAAATGATAAATGAGATATCGTCTGAATCGGCATAAACCAAGGATCATAATGACATAAAGAATTCAAAATTTGAACAATATTTTAAAATGTTATAAGCGTTTTTAAAAAAAAAAATGATATCTCTGGAACACTAGGTGGCGCTGTGATCAAACTTCTCAGGTACCTTCGGGCCATGCTAATGATGATCCATACCAAATTTGGTGAAGAAATTTCAAATAGTTTAAAAGATATTGCAAATTATGACAAAATTCAAAATGGCAGACACGTGGTACATCCCATCATGGCAATATTGATATCCACGGATTCGGCATGATGCAAGGAATCCATAGATACCACAATTATGATTTTCTGACAAACTTTTCAAAAGTTATTGGCCAAAATAGCAATTTGTCATATCTCATGACCCGTAGGTGGCGCTATTCCCAACTTTGGAATGGGACCTCAGAACATGCTTCTGATGAAGTGTACCAATTTTCGTTTCCATTGATCAAACTTTGGCCGAGATACAGCCTCTTAGCCAATTTTGGGTGGACCTCGTTAAGTTTGCAACATTATAACTTTTTTTTTCCAGTATAACAAAAAAATCGGGAACAGTACTTTTATGCGGCTCAGTCTGAAGATCATTTGAGTGCATGTTTGGAGAAAATTGGACAAAATTTGAAGGAGGAGTAGCGAAAAAACTGAATACTGTGCATTTCAAAATGGCCACTACTGTAATGGGCGGGGTCTTAATGTAAGGTATTGGTTGTGATCAGCATGATGAGTGGAATCAGGTGTACTAAGTTTCATGTCTCTAGATCAAAGGGTTCAAAAGTTATAACCATTTCAATGTTGAATTTTTGAACTGGTGGTGGCGCTATAGAGTTGGTCCTAGAGGGTCAAAAATTGGTCCAATTACTATTCATTAGCATCACTACAAGTGTGCCAAATTTCATCATTTTCCTATGTACGGTTCATAGGGCTGCCATAGACTCCCATTCACGGAATAATAATAATAATAATAAGAAAACCAACAGATACAATAGGTGCCTCTGCACCTTCGGTGCTTGGCCCCTAATAATAAGAATATAGCTGCAAGCAGCAACACGGGGCCAAGCCCTGCAAGGCACCGCAATTAGAACAAGTACAGCAAAGTTCAAAGGCTTAGCAGAACAAGTACTGCAAACTGCAAGTACAGCAAGCTGCAAGTACAGCAAGTACTGCAAGTACAGCAAACACAGCAAGTACAGCAAGTACTGCAAACACAGCAAGTACAGCAAGTACTGCAAGCACAGCAAGCACAGCAAGTACTGCAAGTACAGCAGCGCATCAAGCATTTAAGCACCAATAGCAGTGCAGAGCCGCAAGAACAAAAAGAGAACAAATTGAATATACATGTAAATGAAGCACAGCGAGCATTTAAGCACCAACAGCAGAGCAGAGCCGGAAGGAATTGAAATGACAACTTTATACACAATTTTAAAGTCGTCTCACATGGGACTCGAACCCACAACCACAATGGTTTGGGATTCGAGAAGCATGGTTTAGCCGATTGCGCCACTCAGAGGACGTGAATTTCAAACCAGCAGAGGAGAGGGTTCAGTGTGAGAATGAGTTCACAAAAAAGTTCCATGACATGTTAACCAGATTAGCATGCTAAGCTAGCTTATTGCTAATTTAGCTTATGACGTGGTACATCCAATCCTGGCAAAATAGATATCATCGGATTCGACATGATGCAAGGAATCGATAGACACCAATTTTATGATTTTGTGATAAACTGTTCACAAGTTACAGCCTCTTAGCCAATTTTGGGTTGACCTTGTTAAATTTGTGACATCATAACTTTTTTATTACAGTATAGCAAAAAAATCGGGAACAGTACTTTTATGCGGCTCGGTCCGAAGATCATTTGAGCAAATTTTGGACAATTTTGGACAAATTTTGAAGGAGGAGTAGCGAAAAAACTGTTTTACATTCGCTCCAATATGGCGGCCAGTCACATTGTTGGAAAATGACAAATGAGATATCGTCTAAATCGGCATAAACCAAGGAACATACTGTCATAAAGAACTCAAAATTTGAACAATATTTTCAAATGTTATAAGCGTTTTTTCAAAAAACAATGATATATCTGGAACACTAGGTGGCGCTGTGATCAAACTTCTCATGTCGCTTTAGGACATGGTGTCGGTCATCCCTACCAAATTGTGTGCTGATATGTCAAATAGTTTAAAAGATATTGCAATTTATGACAAAATTCAAAATGGCGGACACGTGGTACATCCCATCATGGCAAAATCGATATCCACGGATTCGGCATGATGCAAGGAATCCATAGATACCACAATTATGATTTTCTGACAAACTGTTCAAAAGTTATTGGTCAAAATAGCAATTGTTCATATCTCATGACCCATAGGTGGCGCTATTCCCAACTTTGCATTGGAACCTCAACACATGCTTCTGATGAAGTGTACCAATTTTCGTTTTGATTGATCAAACTTTGGCCGAGATACAGCCTCTTAGCCTATTTTGGGTGGACCTCGTTAAGTTTGCGACATTATAACTTTTTTTTTCCAGTATAACAAAAAAATCGGGAACAGTACTTTTATGCGGCTCAGTCTGAAGATCATTTGAGTGCATGTTTGGAGAAAATTGGACAAAATTTGAAGGAGGAGTAGCGAAAAAACTGAATACTGTACATTTCAAAATGGCCACTACTGTAATGGGCGGGGTCTTAATGTAAGGTATTGGTTGTGATCAGCATGATGAGTGGAATCAGGTGTACTAAGTTTCATGTCTCTAGATCAAAGGGTTCAAAAGTTATAACCATTTCAATGTTGAATTTTTGAACTGGTGGTGGCGCTATAGAGTTGGTCCTAGAGGGTCAAAAATTGGTCCAATTACTATTCACTAGCATCACTACAAGTGTGCCAAATTTCATCATTTTCCTATGTACGGTTCATAGGGCTGCCATAGACTTCCATTTGCGGAAGAAGAAGAAGAAGAATAATAATAAGAAAACCAACAGATACAATAGGTGCCTCTGCACCTTCGGTGCTTGGCCCCTAAAAACTAACAGATACAATAGGTGCCTCTGCACCTTCGGTGCTTGGCCCCTAATAATAAGAAAACCAACAGATACAATAGGTGCCTCTGCACCTTCGGTGCTTGGCCCCTAAAAACCAACAGATACAATAGGTGCCTCTGCACCTTCGGTGCTTGGCCCCTAATAATACTACAAATTCTAAGAATAA